CCCTCCCGTACATGGGATGCATCGAGGTAATAGGTGCATTGTCGGAGGCATGCAGGTTGTGCAAGTCGACCCCCCCCCCCCCCCCCGCCCCCTTCGGGGAAAGTTCCTCAGAAAGTTTCCTCGTGATGAAGGGGTTGCATATGACGAAGATCAGATCCTTCGGGGGTTGGGTGGCCCCCTGTCCCTGACGTGCGCCATGAAAACCTGTTTCCGAAAGGGTGTCGTGAACCCGGGAGATTCCAAGTGTCGATTGGCACATTCTTCTGGTCTCACGGGCTAAATACCCTAGCTGGGGTCGTCCTTTCGTGCCGGTTTTTGTTTTTTTTTTTTTTGGGGGGGGGACAGATGGCTGCGACACTCGTCGTACCGTCGTACCAGATTGATAGGCGCAGAACAGGGGAGGATCTCTGTTTGCAGAGGCGCTATCGTAGGACCTTTTTGTTCCGGTGATGATGGCAGCTGATATTGATTGCTTTCCAGCTGTTTGCGTGGAGGCGGGGCCTTGACTTTCAGGCAGGTAGGTGTCGTGGGAGAGAGTTGGCGTTTGAACAACCACGCATGTCTTTTAAATCACACTTTTGGGCAAACCAAAGCAACACCACCGCCACCACCGCCGCCACCATCACCACCACCCACAAAAACATCAACAACAACAACAACTTCACCGCCACCGCCACCCACAACAGCGCCATCAACAACAACAACAATAACACCCAACATCAATAACAACAACAACGTCAACAACAACAACAACACACGTAGCGCTCTTCGCCCCTCCCGCGGCTCTTCCCTTCCGCCCGGCGCGAAACGCAGCTCCTTCCCCCGGACCTCAATGCCGGCCTAGGCAAGGCACGGACCTTTTTCGCTCCGAACAAGATCCCCTCGTCGGTTATCGTTGCCACCCTCGCCGACCGCCTCGCCGCCGTGCTGGGGCTGGAGGTGCGCCCCATCATCATGATCGTCGTCGTTGACCGTTGTCGCCAGGCTCTGGCTTTGTTTCTGCTGTTGGCCAAAGCGAAGAGTAGGGGCTTTGGTTGTTTTTGCGAAAGGTGGGGACGATGGTCGCGGCTCTGTAGGTCCAGCACGCGCTGGCGTTGTTGCGCGTCAGGTGGGCGGGGGATTGGAAATTCGCCGCTATCGTAGATCGCAGTGGTCTCTGCCTGTGAGGCCGGCCCGCGATATGTGTATCTATGGCCTGGTTCAACGCCATTTGTGTTTCAACGGCATAGCCGGGAGTTGAACGGAGATGCCACGCTTCCCCCGCCAGTGTCTACCGAAGGCACCCCCCCCGGCCCCCGAGTTGGGATTTGGAGCCCAGCAGACGGTGCTTCGCGTTGCCCTACAAAGCGCGAGTAGACTGCCGGACCGGGAATTCAACTTGTTTGTTCCCAGTAGATAGATGTTTGGCCGCCCCAGCCCCAAGATCAGCGAAACTCTTGACGTTTTTCATTCCCCGTTCGCCCCCCGCCCCAACACTTGCGATGTTCCTTCCCACCGGGGTCAACGAAACATTTGATGTTTTCATCCCCCCCCGAAACAACGTGCCCTGGCGAACGTGCGCACGGCGAGCGAACAGCTCCCGCCCCTTAACACGCCGGCGGTAGCGCGCCGGTTTGCCGAGGGGCTTGGCCTCCCCGCTGCCGTGGTGTCCGACGTGGAAACCCTCTCGCGTTTTGGGGTAGGGGGCCCGTCGCGTCCCAACCCGGCGACGGCGGGTAGGTGGAGGAGGACGCGGCGCATGAACCTCAGGGAGTTTAGGAGGCGCTGGCGCCCGGAGAGGCAGGGTGGTGGTGGCAGCGGTGGCCTGAGGAAGCGGGCTAAGACCACCGGAACGGCGGTAACCGTGAAGCGCGAGTTGGGCGGACACGGCACCGAGGAGGAGGAGGAGGAGGAGGAGGAGAGCAGCGGTAGCAGCGGTAGCAGCGACAGCAACAGCAACAGCGATCGCAGCGACAGCAGCAGCAGCAGCAGCAGCAGCAGCGACAGCGACGGGGGCGAGAGTCGCGACGACGCCGCGCGGGCGGAGGAGAGGCTCCGCTGCTTCCTTGTGGACGCCAGCCCGCTGCACGCGATGGCGCTCGTGGTTGCCGCCGCCAAGGGCCGGCCGGACTGGGAGTCGTGGACGTACACGCGCCCGGCCCTGCTCCCGCCCCCGGGCGTTGTGACGTCGTGTACGGCGGCGGCGGGGGCGGCGGCGGAGGGGAAGAGAGGAGGAGAACCATCGTCTGTCGCGGTGGTAGACGGCCACGATAGTGATGACAGCGCTGGCGGCGGCGGTGACAGCGATGATGATAATTTTGGCGCCGGTGGTATGGGGACGCGGTCTGCCGCGCGCCGAACCAGCGACAGCTGGATAGCGCCCCAGCTGCGACTAAGGTCTAGAGGCGGCGGTGGCCCCGCCGTGGCAGCGCCCGCTCCAGCGGCGACGGCGGCGGCGGCGGCGGCGGCGAGCTCGACGTCCCTCTTTGGGCTCCGAGGCAGGCGGCAGTCGCTGCCGGCTAGCTTGACGGGGCGGGGAGACACAAGAGGAGTACGGGAGGAAGTAGGGTTGGAGCAGCCGCCGGCGAGCGGCGGCGATGGCGGTAGCGGCGTGTTCGGTCCGCCGTTCGTTCCGACGCATCGGGAGGAGCTGCGGCTGCTGCTGAGGGGGAGGCTGCCGGAGTACCTGGGGCACGTGGAGAGGTGGCTCGGGGGGGAAGGAAAGTTTGGGGACTGGCTCGGGAACGCCCACGTCCTGCCGGTCGCGCTCGAAAGCCTAGCGGAGGAGGTGAGGGGGGGGGGGGGTGTACTCATAGTCGTGCATGCCGTAGTCGTTTGACCATTGACCTCGCATCCCTACAAAGCCGGGACGGAGCACGCCGGGTTCTCACCGGACCAGGCTCTCACATCACCAAGCGCGAAGCGCCGTGAGGTATTTGGCGAGTCGCATGAAGGGTGAGCTGCATCCTGCTAAGGGTGTTCGGCATCTTGTGCTTACTTCCTTGCGTACGGATGACAGCTACGTATGACTTAATTTATTTTCTGGTGCTTTCACTTCCAGAGACAGTTGTAAGCACTGTGTAACTGCCTCGAGGAAGCTTGACCATTTTAACACAACGTGGTGCGATCATCCCCCGTTGCGCGGAGTGAGGTTTCTCGACCCCGCACAACATGATCTACTCGACCACCATTATGGTTACCGCCAAAAAAAAAAAAACGAGGTAAAAAAAAAAAAACGGTAACCTGGTTGCCGAGTTCACGAAGTGAATTGGCTTCTTTTACAACGTCGTTGCCAAGCGACGAAAACCCAATCCCGATGGCAAACACCGACTGGGGGGGTGAGGGGGGGGAGCGGTTTTTGTCAGCTTGGTCGCGGTGGTTGCTGTTGCGGTTGTCGTCTGTTGGTGTTGGTGTTGGCGTTGCTGCCGTTATTGCTTGTTTGAGTGGCTTTTATCGTCGGCAGTTGTCTTGCTGTTGCTGTTGCTGTTTTTTTTTGTTTTTGTCGTTTGCTGTCCTCGTCTTCGTTGATATTTTCAGCCGTTCTTTCAGCAGGCGTTTCAAGTTTTTTTTTGGCTACCGCAGCCTGCAGCCTGTCATCTAGATCCGTGTCCACCCTGGCGCGATTCGCCCGCCTCCTTCCGCCGTAATAAGGCTTGCCATCGCGTTTGATACCGCCATCAGATCGAAGCAAGAAGAAGAGCCGACACGCACGCAGAAGGCGTCAGAGGACCGGCGGCGGCGGCGGCAACAGCGAGGCACTCACGCAGCAGCGACGCCAAGGGCGGCAACGGCGGGGGGGGCGATGAAGTCGTTCTCATGGGCTGCGTGCGAGCGGCCCAGGTGGCCGCCAGCGGTAGTAGCCTTGAAGGCCACCACCTGGCCGCAGGTACCCACGCCGAAGACGGGGGGGAGGACGATGACGAAGGGAGCGATGGCGGAGGCGGCAAGGGCGAGGGCGGCGGCAAGAGGACGAAAAAGACGAAGGTACGGCGGTGGTGGTCGAAGTCCCTCACTCGCGCCACCGGTATTGCATAGGGTGGAGCGAAATACACGGCCAAATTTAACCCTGTTACTCGCGCCGGCAATATGAAGGGTGGTGAGAAATAAACGGCCGGCATATTTGCTACCTCAGTCGAGCACAGTTTGAAGCCCGCCCATCACGCCGCTTTTCCCCCACCCTCCTAAGAGGGGAGGATGCCTTGACCGCTTGTCATAAGAGGGTGCAGCCACGCCATCGCCAATCAGAAGATGCAACAAGGCCGGAAAGGCTGCCATTACCCACGTGTCAGTGACCACTGAGAAAATATATACACGCACACGGCAATCTCGGTATCGGCTATCCTTCCCGACCCCGAGGGGCTATCAAGCGAAGACTTCGTGGAAGTTGCGAGTGGCACCCCAGTCCTCTCACGAAGCAACACAGAGAGAACATCTCAGTACTATTAATACCTGTAGTGTCACAATCGACAACGGGACGACAGCCATTGCGTGTGCGATGTTCCCCGAGACGCGGATAACCGTTCTTGAAAGGTACCGGCGTGTTTTCACCCTCGTGATGACGACACCAAAATACAAAACTTTGCACGACCTTGCTGACTGGCTGACCAACGAGAAATAAACCAGTCTTATACAGTCTTTACCTGTTGAACCTCGCATGATCAGTCACTGGGGCCATCTCCAGGCGGTGTAGCGAAAATAGAATCGCGAAACGAGGCGCGAACGCATGTGTTTGACTCTGCGTGTCTTTCATTTCTTTGAAGAGCATCGACGGCGTTAATCGGCTGACCCAATGAACGGAGGTTGACCGTTCAGCGGGAAAAAGAAAAACGCTACAATCCTTTGAGCGCTCGGGCTTCTTCGACAGTGGGGCTGCGGAAGACGTGGAGACTTTCCTTCCAGCAGCATCGACTGCCCTGACGGACCGACCTAGTGACCGACCAATAAATGGCCTCACTCCCACCCGAACCGATCGACCAATGAAATGACGTCACACTAACCCGAACCGACCGACTGACCAATGAAATGACGTCGCACTCACCCGAAGCGACCGAATGGCCAATGAAATGACGTCACCCTCAACCGAATCGACCGACCAAAGAACAGATTTCAGACCCCGCCGCCCCAACCCGAGTCGACCGCAAAAATTGAAATGACGCCACAATCACCCGAACCGACTGACCGACCAATGCAATGACGTCACACCCGCCCCAACCGACCGACCAATGAAATTGCACCAGCCGTCACCCTCACCCGAACCGATTGACCAACGAAATGACGTTGCCCCCAACCGAATCAAACCGAACCGACCAATGAGGCGAGGCCACCCCGACCCGAACGGACGCACCAATGAATTGACCCCCATGTCCCCTGCCCCCCTACCCCGTACCGGCATACCGACGTCGGTGCTTCAGATAAGGATGCCGATGAACCGGGAGCGGATTAAGAGTCGCGTTAGCGTGCGGAGCGCCAGGACATACGACCCCAGCAGGCTGGGCCCGACCGTGGTGTACGACCCGTCCGACCGGATAAGCCGGTTTCACCCCCGGTACGAGCTTCTCATCGAGGCGGGATCGTTTTACCTGCAGGTATGAGAGGGGTGTTTGATGCGAGAGAGAGGGGGAGGGGGGAGAGAGAGAGAGAGGGCAAGAGGAAGAGAGGCAGAGAAAGAGAGACAGTGGGAGAGAGGTTGAAGAATTGTTCTTATGTTATTTTCTACAAATGTTTCACATGTTATCCACTTTTTTTTTTGGGCACGACATACGTATATGAGGTACACGTTGCGGCTGGGCCTGCTTCACTAAAAGGTTGACGAGATGGATACAGTTTTACTATATTAATTTTGTTTGCATGTTTATTTTGTTGTTATATTCACATTCTAACTTATTGGACGTTATATATTCAATGCAGGTGCAACCGGACCGCCGTCACGATGAGATCTATCGCTTTGTATTTCTATACTTTTATCTCTTTTTTTTTCCTGTTTTTTGTTTTGTTTTGGACAAGACATACAATACACGTGCGGCCAGACCTCCTCCACGATGAGATCTATCACTTTGTATTTTTGCGTAATAGTCTTTTTTTTTTTTGTCAGCTACATTTTTTTTTTTTTATACACGACAAGCATAAAGGCGCGGCCGGGCCTGCTCCACGAAAAGGTCGAAGAGGTGGATCACGTTTTATCTTCTATATTCTAACTTATTTTTTGTAAAATTGTTTGCATTGTTTGCTTTTTTTTATCATTTTCTGTGTTTTGGACGCAACGTACAATGTAGTTGCTGCCAGACCTTGATAAGATCTATCGTGTTCTCTTTCTATTTTTATATTGTTGTTTTCGTTTTTTTTTTTACTATTTTTCTTTTTGTTTTGGACACCGAATACAGGTGCGGCCAGACCTCCTCCGTGATAAGATCTATCGCGTTCTGTTTCTATTTTTATTTTGTTGTTTTCGTTTTTTTTTTTACTATTTTTCTTTTTGTTTTGGACACCCAATACAGGTGCGGCCAGACCTCCTCCGTGATAAGATCTATCGCGTTCTGTTTCTATTTTTATTTTGTTGTTTTCGTTTTTTTTTTACTATTTTTCTTTTTGTTTTGGACATCCAATACAGGTGCGGCCAGACCTCCTCCACGATAAGGTCGAGGAGCTCGACTCCATCCTCATCGAGCAGGCCAAGAGGTCCCTCCGTCGCCAGGAGGCCCCCACCGGCTTCAAGGTCTGGGAAGGCCTGGAGAAGGACGAGCGGCGACGGCGCCGGGCGCGAGCCCGGAAGGAGTCGGAGGCGAGGGAGAGGCACGCGCAGCGCTGGATGGGAAACGTCAGCCGCAAGCGGCGGAGGCAGCTCGTCAGGGAGATGGCGAAGCGCGAGCGGAAGGAGGAGGAGGAGCAGCGGGAGCTGCTGCTGCGGGGGGAGGAGGAGGAGGAGGACGAGGAGGAGGAGGACGATGACGAAGAAGAGGAGGGCGCGAGCATGATGATGGGGGCTGCGCCCCGTGAGGCTTTGACTTACTTTTTTTGTTCTCCGCTTGCTTTCGCTTTGAGGCTGTTTTTTTTTTTTTTCCGACTTGCTGGTTTGCTTTTTGGGTGCAATCGTGTTTGTTTCTTTCGTTCTTGTTTCTTTCTTGCGCAAGCACGTCTCTTCTGCCCCCCCCCCCCCCCCCTAT